GGAGTTACTCAGAATTTAAAAAAAATGTCTAAATGAATCACCCTTTACACAAAATTAACCGGTAAATCTGTAGTTAAAATAAAACTGTCAGCGTCAGAAACTAACAATTTTTTTATACATAGAAGCAGCCATATAGACAAACGTCTAAATACCGGGACACCATGACTCCTATAAGGAGGCTAAAAACACCTTGTTAATTCTTTTGTACTACCTAAGAACTGGGGAAAACCTCCTTAGGCAGATTGTTCTACAATATTGACATACTAGGAACAAAGGAGCGGTCGTACCGCTATCTTGAAATTTTCAACTGCCATATTTCTGAATACATCAATTTTGGAAAAGCAAGTGTGGACCTATCTCCATACCTAAAAGAATAGAATATTCCACAATACCTAACTTCTCGATACAGATGTTAGCTTACGGTGAGAATCTTCAAGATGCCGCTGGTGCTTCGCGAGTGTAACACAATCAGATCGTTTTTCTAGACGCTTCCATCTCGCGTTGCAGTTTGTTTATCTCGTACACCTAGGTAGTCCGGTGAAGATTAAGGAAGAAGACATTAACCATGCGTTATTAATCGATGGGCAACAACTTCGAACAGTATTTGTGTGCGACTGGACGAAATTTCTCATCTTCTTATTCTTTCTGTTCTTGCGTTTCCATGTCACCCCATATTATTATGTTATTTCAAATGTAGGTCTTTTGAAAACGAAAGACAGTCTTCAGATGCTGCTACGAATTTTCGACCTCTTATAGAAGCGACGACTAAACAAGTGAAACTCATAGCAGGTGCAATTTTTCATTAGTTGCTTTTTGGCGGCCGTGCCGTGGTTTCGTACATACCGATATGCATCCTATGTTTCTGCTGTATATTAATGATCTGATCAGATCCATGCCGGTACATGCCTGGTGTTTATTTTTGCTATTCTTATACGTTTCCACGATTTTCAAAACGTCAAAGGTTTCCTCAACCTTTTTTATCAGTTGGGATAGTTTTATTTGTAGTTATTTATAGTAAGATGCATAATTTGTACAGATTATCGCACTTCCCTTTTCTTCAACAGTCCGACTGAAAAAGTATCCTTAATACTGTTCGTCTGTTTGTTTCATGGTATTTATAAAGATGACTGAAAAACAACATAATCATTTTTTTTGTCGGAAAATATTTTTTGTGTACTTTTCTTGGATAAGCAAACTGAGTTTTCAAGAAGAGCAAAGCTGTTTTGAGGAAAAAATGATATGACGAAAGTAAATGCTTAAATTTATTCACTATAAATGTGCTTTATTCCCATAAAAGTTGAGAATAGTACTACTATTATTTGTTAACGAGTTACCATCATTAAAACATGCATAAAAGATACATATGAATGCATGTTTTGACAGAAAACTGATAATGCTCTTTAGCAGTAATCCCTATACACACTGTGAAATAATCAGACGAAAAGTATTACAGAATAAGAAATGTGCTGCCTTATGGGCATTATTTCTTATTTTTGTATATATTTATAGTTTTTGCGTATTTATTCACCTTGCAAAATGTATGCTTGTTAATTATTTGTCTGTTTCTAACGGTTCACAAACAAAATTTGTTGTCGCTTTTCCGATCTTAGCCTAACGTGGTCGTTTTCTAATGAAATATATTTCTTATAGAACCTTCAACCGAACTATAATTTTTTGTGATATTTTTGTATCCTGGGGGGCATAGCTATTGGCAAGCGTACATTGTTGTTTTAGAAGGCACCCAAAAATTGAGCGGATTACTCTTTATCCTCCATATTCACCATGCACAACTCCATCTCTAGAACGTCGTAAATCAATAACACAAGTTTTGTTATCTGTATGACTCATATGTATAAGCATTTTTTTCAGATCGTATTTCTTGTCAAACCAATCAGTCCTGATCCTCTTATGGGTAGAGTAATGGTCAGACGCATAATGAACTTAAAGAGGTAGACTGATAGAACGTAGAATAATAAACAAGCCCGCAAACAAATACGAACACTTCTAATGGGCAGACAGTGAATAAATCTTCACTAGTTCTACGCAGTCACCTTTCGTTACAGTTCAACTGGACGTCGTGTACAGGGTGTAAAACTAAGAAATTCATTCCGTGCGAAAAAAGATAACTATGCTACCATTTGTTTGCAGTTTGCAAAGCTGATAACAACTGATTTATATATACACACTTCTAGCCAATATTGATTTTTTTGGGGGTAAAGTATTCACGTATCTAATACTTGCGTACATATCTCCTCAACCAATTGGCTGCTATGTTTGTTGGTTCGATTGTTTTCTACTATTTTCTCCAAATTGATTTGTGATCTAGACAATCAAAGCCGAATTAAATTACCGGGGAGATTTCAAAGGGAAATGTCATTTGGTGAAAACCCTGAGTGAAAACGGAAAAAGAAAAAACGTACGACGTAATTTTTTATTTACGTTGGAAATTATTTTTTATCTTTTTTATAACTAACACTAACACTAAGTGTATGAGCATTAGTCGATTGTTTTAGCTCTAAGTTAATTACTGATTAAAATAGACACTGAAATTGGGAAAATAATCTTGAAGTTATTGCAATATAACCGCTTAAAGTCGGACATTTTACTATTTTCCTTGATTACTTCTGTTCACCCGTCATTGACTTTTAACCCTGTGATTTATTATGTGTTCTGACATGTTATAAAAGCGCATTAAATTCTAAACCAAAATATCTGATATTTCTGTTTTTATTATAATTTTTTGAAAAAAAAAATTATAGAAATCTTTTGCCATCCAACTTGACCGACGTTTAATGTTGATTATTTTGTTGACTGAGATGATGATAAATGTAGTCTAACTGGATTCTGTTTCCAAACAGCGCCAGCGGCCGCTTCTATTGTAAGAATGAATGGTACTGTTAGCGCCATCTGTTGGGAACCTCGCCAGGGAATCTCCTTCGGCATCAAAGCAAGTTGCGAGACTGACCCCGAAGGTTTTGGAGTGGGCGCTATGTGGCATACAGGAACTTTCTCGAATTAACGAGTACCTGCAATGCGGCATACCTGTATATAAGCCGACGGCCGGGAGGCAGAGTTGTATACGGCTGGAGCGGAGGGCGGAGTTGGATAATAGTGGTGTAAGTACATAAATGTTCTATCTAGTTAAGTTAAAGTTGGTTGTGTTGTGTTGTAAATAAATTAGTGCATTTCTTTTTGTGGAATCGAGTGCTTTAATTCACACCCAAAACAACCCAGAAAAACGCACTATAGTGCTTTCAAACATAGAATTACGTACAGTGCCTGTAAATCACTTAGTTTTTAATTATTCATATATTTATATGGAAGACATTTTGCAGTGAAATTGCATAAAATTGTAGTTTTGTCATCTGCTTGAATACCCACGGATTATGAGTTACAGAGTGCGCCAGTATATAAATCTGATTAATTGAATTTACAAAACAACAGTTGAATAGCACATCAACCCGAAAAGATGCTAATATTACAAAATAATTGTAACAAACTGCAAGTCACTTTTCTACCAGAAGGAAAACTAGTACATGAATTTAACTTATATCATTGAATTAAGCAGGTTATAAAACCTTTTAGACATTTTTTGATAATTTATATAACGTGGGATGTATAAAAGCAGAATTTTTACCAAAGGTATGTTATTTCATAAGCCTGTAAAAAAGTATCTTACTAGATTCTGCTGTACCACGATAGAGGAAAAGGACTTCCACTAGTAGAATTCAAACACAAAATCTTTCGTATTCTCGATGGGCGCTTTAGCTAACTAACCGACCATGGTGACCAGTGACAAATATTTGTATGTTTGCAGTAGGTTTCTGGTTGGAATTTATAAGGTCTGTAAATTAAGCAATGAGCCTGGCAACGTAGAGTTCGATCTGGTAACAGTGGACGGGCAGGGAGATAGGGGAACATGTGATTCGCCTTCAGTGCAAACCTGAACTCGCTCGAATCATTTGGTTGTCCGTAACGATTCTTTTGTGGAACAGTTTATAACTATTGTGTTTCAAAAATTAATGACATCAATTTCGATCAACGGTTTTGCTTCAGACTTGGGCACAGTGCAACGGAAACTCTTGCTAAACTTCAGCAGGCCTATGGAGACAGTGTTTTGTCAAGTGCCCCGGTTTTTCGGTGGTTTAAGGCATTTTTAGAAAGAAGACAGTCGATTGAAGATGAACCACGAAGTAGAAGGCCTTCAAGAACCGATGAAAATATCGACAGAATCCGGGATCTTGTGCGTTCAGATCGTCGGTTGACAGTCAGAATGATCGGGGAAGATTCACGCCACCGTCCATCAGATCAAGAACAACTGGGTGTTGCATCATGATAATGTTCATTGACACTCAACGAGTTTTTGGCCAGTAAAAACATTCCTGTGGCTCCTTAGCCTCCCTATTCGCCTGACTTGACTCCTTGTGACTTTTTTCTCTCCCCGAAGTTGAAAAATCACGTCAAGGAACACATTTTGGGACAGTCGAAAATATTCAAACGGCTGTAACCGATCAGCTGAAGGTTATTCCAGTATCGGAGTTTCAGCACTGTGGCTTCAAAAAGAAGTTATTTTGTGGATAACAATATACAATTTTTAATTATATTTAAATAAAAAAAAACAGTCTCGTCACCTAATTTACAGACCTCGTACGTACCAAGCCGCCCTGATGGTATACTTACCGCAATAAGGGCTCGGTAGAAGTCTACAATGCGCATAGTAGTCGGGCGTGTCTTGTGTGGAATGAGGGGCGGCGGCGGTAAAAGGGTAGCGCTGACAACACAGAATGGCGACCCTACCACCCCGAACCTCCTCTTCGGTGCTTCTGCTACTAGAGGTACTGCTGCTAGTACTGTCACTTCCTCCAAAGGCGGTGTTGGTTCTCCTTCTTACAAGGTGGGGAACTATGGTGGTGGTGCCGGCACATCGCACCAACAACTCACTCAACGGTACCACCACCAACATTACATTTAGTGCTGGTACTACGTCGCCGCCGATGCTCCTACTGGCTCCCGGTGCTCCTCACGACCTGCTTCTCGGTGGAACTCTTCTAAAGACAAAAAGTACTTTTAACTTATTTGTGAAATACCTTTGTACATATTTGTGGAAGGCAATCCCACCTAAGGTCTATTTGCAGTTTCAAAATGGTAGGACAACTAGGCGTTATTGCAAGTCATTTTAAAGTTCCGTTAACTGATTAAGAAAAGTTCATAGAAATTTGTGGTAGGTTAGTGATATGTTATACGAAAGTACATTGGTCCAGAAAACAGAAAAGTACACAATTTTTCGTACAGCAAGGATCTTTTGGGCAGCTGATTCCAAATTCAGGAATTGTTTTTTATAAGGGTATTTGAAGGTCACCCCAATGACAAATTCAAAATAAGCTCAGCAATCGAGTCCAGACGCGTGTCCTATAGGTTTTTGTGGTCGCTGTGTCCAAGCCAGTAATTAGCTTGTCTCTAGTGAGGCATCAGAAGGCCGTTTTGAGGCCTTTTAAAAGACACGTTAAAAAAAGTTGAATAATGGGTCCCAACCACTTGCCATAATATATATTAACTAGGTTATATTTATTATTAGTTATCAAAGATGGCAAGAAATGTCTCTAGATTTTATCTGGCAGTACCGCAGGGTTCACAAACATCATCAATCACAAATCGGAGAACCTTATTTAAAAACCTTTCTGAATAATAGCAAGGTGAAGGAACGGGTAATACGTTCAATCCACTGTGTACATGAAATTAATACAATGATCAAAAATGACATTCAATAAAACCTTGTATTTTCTTTATTGGAATACATATGAGGATGTTCATAATCTTTAAACATACAACACAACAGACAATACAGTACGTACGTTTCGATTTTACAGTAAGGAAAACTTCAAGTCTAATATTTTACCACGGCAAAGGTAGCGTAAGCGAAGTTTTATTTTCATTGCATACTTAAGGTGTCATTTTCATTACTGTCGTTAGTTTTTTTGCATAAATGTACCACAAGCGACAATTGCATAAAACAAGGGTCATTCTTTTCATGCTTGTGGACACCAAGTTGTAAGGGCAATTTGCTATGGACACAACGTTACCGAATTACAGGGTGCGGCAGAGAGGATGGACGGTTTTAAAACAATCATAAAATAGTTAATTTTTACTCGAAAACAAGTTTATTGATAGAATCAGGTTCACAAGGAAATAGCATTTGAGATAGTCAAGTGTGGAAGATCACATCAGGCATGTGGTGGCCGAAGTCGTTGATGCAGTGCTGGAGGCGTTCTTGGAAGTTCGCGTAGACTCTCTCCAACATCGCTCTCTCAACTTGGGCGACTTCCACGCGAATTTCGCCCTTCAATTTGTCCAGACTTCGGGGCTTGTTCGCGCATACTCTAACCTTTTGAGGTGTCCCCATAAGAAAAAATCGCATATGGATAAATCTGGGGACCGTGGAGGCCAATGAACATCGCCAAACCTGGAAATAAGGCGACCAGGGAAGAGAGGGCGAATAACGTCTATGCATGCTCGGGCTGTGTGGGCGGTCGCCCCATCCTGCTGGAACCACACACGTTGGATTGGAACACGTCGCCGTCGTAATTCAGGGAGAAAGAAGTTGGTCATCATGTCGAAGTAGCGCTCTGAGTTCACGGTAACATTACGACCATTACCGTCTTCGAAGAAGTAAGGGCCAATGATGCAAGTTTGCGATACAGCGCACCAAACCGTTACTTTTGGGCTGTGCAGCGGTCTTTCGTGTAACTGTTGCGGATTTTCATTAGCCCAATAACGACAATTCTGCTGGTTAACATACTGTTTAGGTGAAAGTGGGCTTCGTCACTCATAGGCGAAAATGCGGTACTCCACCGTCCAAGGCTCCATAACGACAACTGGTAAAATAATGCTAGGATCTCACGAGTCAAATTGCACCCTCCCCACCTCTCTCGTAGACGGAGGCGGAGAGTACTACCCATCCCAAAAACGTCCGTCCTCGCTGCCGCACCCTGTAGCTTCGAAGACTCTGTGACCAGACAACATGGTCGCAGCATTATTTTCTGTCACAATTGACCATCAAGCCAACTTTGGCATAACCATAATTAAAATTATTAATGAACGTTCCAACTCGTAACATTCGGCGTGATATAGAGTGTGAACAACAAACTTAATCAGTTTAAAAACGGTTCAATTTCGAGCCGGTATGGATGGTTCTGTTGAAATATGGGCTCTAAAAAATAGGATATAGTAACGCTTGGCCAACGCGTATGTGTTGAAAAATGCATTATATTGCATCTTTCTTCAATACCAAATACTGTTACATCAAGTGCTATACCAAACACATCACATCTGGGGTGTTTGCTAAACTATTTGAATCGGTCAGTTCAAAAACCGCCATTTTTTTTCAAAATGCTTTTTTCGTTGGAATCGCTTCCTTAAAGGTAGATGCTCATTTTAGGCATAATCCACTTGCGCTAAGGCATGCCGTCCCATTCCAGTAATACCGCCTAATACACGTACATTGTAAAAACAACAAATGATTTTTTTTTCATGGTTATGTGCTATAGGCACCAAACTACTAATTTTAAATTCATCAACTACGATAATAAAGCTTCCGGCAAATACAGCATTAGCCGATGTGTCCGAAATCACCTTTTTTCCTTGATTTTGACCAAAATTATTGAATCAATCTGCCTTATTTGTATGGGCAAGAAACTTCTTTGAATATACTCTGGATATTTAAAAAAACATGGTGTCAGATAGGTTGACTCTTCACTTTCTACGCAACGTCGTTATCAATTCATAAAGGATTACGTTCAGCGCAATTTAAATAATCTGTAAAAAAGTCAGTTACGAATAGTACAACAGAAAAATTAAACCGATTAAATGAGTTGAATTGGCCCATAGGCATTTTTCCCTATCCTACTAGTAGTTACTAATCGTTACCTTTCCTCAAAGTAATCATTTATTATAATCGTTACTCTGTTTACTATGAGTAGTATGAGTATGACGATTTGACAACGCGCGTGGTGTAATTAATGACATGTTGAATTTGAAAAACTTCAATGGAACGACTATATAATGCATTAGTTTGGTAAGTGGGAAGAAAATAAGCAACCTTCAAATTTGGAAAATTTTCCGACAACAATCTATTTAAATCTGCCGTGCTTAATGTAAACATCGTTTCTTCAAATTATATGCAAAACGGGTGGTTATTATAGGATAGGGTCATATGACTCATATGGGCCTAAAATCCACTTCAAATTTTTTTCTGAAAATTATCATGATCCTCTGGAACGTCAAAAAACGAAGTGCTTTTATTTTTTTCGTGTTTGACCTTTTTCTCCGCCGTCTCTTGACCAACTTTCAAGAAACTACAAAGCATTTTCGTCCTTGGCATAGTAGCAACCTAGTGTGAAAATTTCATCAAAACTCAAGCAGTACTTCCTAAGTTATAGACAGGCCAATGATTAGCGGACAGATAGACCGACAGACATGAACAGACCAACGGAAATGAGGGACAATGTCTTTCGTGATGTACATGTCATGAAATAACTAAGGTTTGGCAATGTCAATGTAACATATGTCGTATTATACATTTTTGAAATCAGAATCAAAAAATCAATTCATCTGTGCAAAAATCTAATATGGCGTCCATAAGAAAAAATTAAGTTGATGATGAGACGAAAGAGACGAAACGTCATATTGAGATTCTAGTTATGCCGTTTCGCAGAGAAGAAAAAGTAGCAATTTTAATGTGCAATTTATTTTGAAATCCCACTCTACAAATAAAGTCAGGAAGGAATTAAAACAATTTTGGAAAAATTAGTTTTTTCCGTCTCTCTCCGGAAGTACTTTGAATTCCGAAACTTTCTAAGCGACATTTTGTTCATTACCTAAATAAACAACTTTGCCCCCATTCAACCGACTTTGTATCTCTTACAATTTCCAAGATCCCATTGGTGAGGGTCGAATTTGAAACACCCTGTATAGTGTTACTGGAGAATAAAATGTACAAATACCTCGTTTTAGAAGGCCATTATTGATCTAGCTTATTACTGCATTTGGAGCTATACGCGTGTGCGCCTCACCATATAAAAGTCCTCACGCAATAATAGATCATTTCTCAACCTAGGTATGTGTAATGTACTGTTATGTCAAATAACAATTTGTTATAATCAACTCATTTACCAATCTTCACAACTGCATTGACAAACACACGAAAAACGCACCGCGAATCCCGTGAACAACAGCACAACCGGATTTGATTAAGAATTAGAACTGTTGTTTCGGGATTAAGTCTGGTCTCTAATATACTCCCAATTCAGCCGGGAGGAAAGCTTGCGGGTGGACGCATTGGATCAAGGTGGCGAGACGACACCTGTTGCATGGGAGGGCGTCTCCAGGCGTTGCCGTCGAGACACCTGTTGATCCAGCTGAGTGCTGATTGGAGGATATGAGGGTGGCGGGAGGAGCATGGGGTTGCTACAGAGTGCCAAGTACTTCTGGTAATAATTATTTTACTTCCCAGGAATTAGCAGGAATCTATATATAGCACAGTCTGTGTTTTAATTGGGATAAGTCTTTGAACCGACATCTCAGTTAATCTAGGAAATACAGAAAAATACTTTATGCAAAAATGAAAATCAGGTCTGCGTAAAAGAACTTATAACGTTAGATGTTCTTGATCAGTTGTTTAGTATCTGCTTATAAAACGGGGCAGATATCACGACAGTAAATTCGGAGCAGATATCATTCAACATAGGTGCATTGTGTCATAACCTGCAAAATAGGACTGCGCGTTACCGTGGTGTAGTTGAAACATGCAAATAGCAATCCATTTTAGAAAAGCTGCTAAACACCTATTTAGTAGGATGGACCATTCCTGTAGTGGAATTTTTATTGATATATTCGTAGAGGTTCAATGATTTCGCGAAAAATCATTTATTGGTTCTCAAAGCGCAAAATCTCCTGTGTTAATATTTCCAATGGAGGTGAGTCCAGTGTAGATCTCTGGGAAAAGCAGCTGCATATAAGTCAGTGAAAGGGCGCCTATAGTGATACTAGGGTT